CATTAACATCCTGTGTGTATTAATTTCGTAATTAGTTTTTTTCTTCAAACATCATTTTTCATCAAACAATTGCAATTACAACGTAACAAATTTTTATCATAATTTCATAATCCTCGTTATTGCGTGGAAAAAACCGTCACGAAAGTTCAAGTTGTGAAAAGTAGCTGCTTTAGAAAAAAGCAAAGCGAGGGGGTTGAAACGCGGGAAAATTCAAATCAACGATTCGTTGACGTCTCGCCTCTTTGCCGATCTCTCTTTCTCTCCCTCTCTCTTCCTTTCTCTCTCTCTCTCTCTCTGTGGCACAAGAAAGAAAAGCACACTTTCACGAAGTCGAAACTCAACCTGGATTCCGCGAGCACATTCTTCCACCTCCTCCTCCTCCTCTGAAACCGGAAGCCTTCGATCCGACAATGATCTCACAGTCGCCTATTTTCTTGCACGAGGATTTATAGAATGCCAACGTTTCACAGGCGAAAAATAGGATCAAAAAAAAAAAAGGCAACAACTTTGGGCGCGCCAATTTATCGTTGGATAAAAAAAAAGAGGGAAAAAGAGGGGAAGGGATGAAGTGGATAATATCGCGTGGATATTATGCATTTTTCAACGCGGTTCGAGTATCGATTTGGAGAGGAGAGAAGCGTGAATTTAATTGGAGGGATTTATTTCCCCGACGAATTCGAGATTCGTCGCGACTCCAGACGAGGGTTTAATCGAGTTTCCGGTCCCAGACCGTGCGCTCTGTCGATCCTCCGCATAATTGATACTTCGTAATTTTCCTTACGTCCTTCCACTCTAATTGCTCGTAACGAACGCGAACAGAAGGATCGAAACGGAAAGAATTTCACAAAGAGAAATTGTGAAATTCATCGTTTCTGTTTATCACGAAACGTGAATTTTCCAATTTCTCTTGTCGACCGATCCCTTATTGAAAATGATCCGCTTATATCGTTTTTACCAAAAATTAAACAAATTTGCTCAGCTTTGCAAAATTGTCAGTTTCATTCTTATAATCCAACGTCCGATCGTCATATCTCACTCGATCGAAAGTGAAATCTTGGAAGGAGGAGATTTCGGCCAAGGGAATCGGAATAGAAGGCCAATACGGAGGCTTTTATTAAAGTAATAAGAACAAGGCTGAAGCGAGAAACGATTCTCGAATTGTCGCGAGGAACCATTGGAAGAAATCTAGAAATCGAATTTTTCCTCGATAAGCGAAATACTAATAAAACGCGATCGAAACGGGACAAAAAAAAATCACAACGACAACGATTAATCCAGTTGTATACGAACCGAAGCTCAAACAGCTGTCTTTTCTTAGAGAACGTTGTTGAAATTACAGAGATATTGTTCCAATTTTCCATCGAGTCACATCCGAAGTGTTGAATATTATTGATTATTTTTGTGATAATCAAAGAAGAAATTCTTGAATTTGTACGCGAGATAGGATTTGGAAGGACTCCTCCCTCGTGACGGATAATAAAATGGAAATGGGGAAAGCCAAGAGAGGAAACGAGCACATCCATATATAATAGATCGATCCGTGGCCCTTCCTTCCTTTCACAAAGCTCCTACTTCCTACGATCAACGACCCCGGGAACAGACACGTCGAACTTAACCAACGCGATTATCGGCCGCGTATTTGCATCTAACAGCGGCCGGCCGATGACGAAAGAGGGGCGAGACTATCTTTCACCGGAGGCGAGCGACCAAAGCCGACCCAATTCTCCTTAATTGCCCGTGAAGGGAGTCCGCGAGAGGCGCAAGAAATCGTTTTACGATCATCAGGAAGTCCGAGCGTCGCGCCACGTGGTGGCGGCCACTGGAAACCCGATCAAAAATTTATTCTTGGCCTCGTGTTGGATGCATTCGAGATAATTGAAATAAGGAATTTTCGAAACAAAACAAAATTTTCTTTTGCCGCTACGAATATGAAAAACTTACAAACATAATCCACGAAGAGAATTCAGCTTTCTTTAGAACGTTGGCGTATAGTTTAATCCTCATCTTTAAAATTACAAGCAGGAGGAAGAATAAGACGACTCTGTATCATTCCCATTCTCCGTTGAGACGTTTGACGAAAAAGTGGGAAACCCGATTAATTTTTTAATCTTTCTTCATCTCAAGATCCACGAATCTGAATCGAATCTAGCGGATATTTCTTCTTTTTTAACCTGCTTATACGCACACTTGATCCCATCGCTACGTAATGAAAACCGCGCAGGAAAAGTGTGCTGAGAACAAATTTCCCTTCCCTCTCTGCGTATCACTTCCGATGGATCGTCGCTCTACTTTTCCCTCTTTTGTTTTCTTCGTTTCGCTTCGGTTGTCTCATCGACGATTAGAAAATGCATCTGTACAGAGAGCGAGAAAGAGAGACTCCCCTCCCTCCTTTCAAAGGAAAGAAATCGAGTTAGAGTTTAAATGGATCGCGAGAAAGAGAGAGAGAGATTCGATCTCTCGAGCGTTAAATGAAGATCGCACGATATTGTCGTGCGGATTATGGTTATTATCGCTGTCTTCTCTCCCCTGTGACCTACACTGTTGATGATCTTGATGGAGGAATGAAAGTTGGAGAGAGAGAGAGGGAGAGGTGGAGGGTGGATTATTTTTCGTTTTGCGCCATACGTTTTCTGGGTTAGAATTGAAACTGGAAGAGAAACGTTGAGAAATCGTAACGAGAGGAATAAATTAATTCCTCGGTCGATCATCATCTTCTCATCATCGTTTTTCATCCCTTTCCACTTATTGTACACTTCTCGAAATTATTATACACTTCGGCAATGTTTCGCTATCGATTCACTTGTATACAAAAGAATCACAGATAATTTGTTGGAAAAGAAAATCTCAATTTTTACCATTACTTCCATAGTACTCATCGTATTACATACGATGTTACGTTAAAAGAACACGTATCCGCGATGTTTCGTGTTTCGTGTAATTATAAAGCAGAATTATAAATAATTCGAAAAACAGTTGGAAAAGAAAAAAGAAAGAGAAAAACACGAGGAGGAACATCAATTCCAACGCTTATTAATATTGACATACATTCGAATTATCTCCCCAATGGGCAGAATTAATAAATTAAATAGAATAACACATCCAACGGTGGATATACTCGTTTTTCCAGATTCACGTGGCATCCGTGAAACACGCGTTTCCGCTCGTGGACACGATTAATAATCGTGGGGGATTCAAGGGGGGCAGGAAACTGCGCCTGCCTTCTTATAATCGCTCGTGTCCAAACGAGCCGTGAGCCTCGTCATATTAGCGCGAGCAAGTCTCACGGTATATTTCTTGGCTCGATGATTAATGGATCGAACGGGCGGATCCAACAACCATTCCCAGATATCACGTGGACGAAAGCGGACGAAATAGACAGTGGTGCAAGTTTTCTCGTTTGTTTACGTTCCGAGAGTTAGAAATTGAATCTCGATTGATAAATTATTGGCCGATCGTTCCGCGCGATTTCACGGTTATTTATAGCCGATTTATTCGACGGCCCGACACTGTGTGCAAACGAGCAAACGTTCAACGAAGCATCGGTGAGAAACGATGAAAACTATCTTAAACTTATCCATCAAATTTTCTTCGATTTTTTCTTCGATTAACCAACCGATCCTTCTATAGTTATTATTAAAAAATTTAAGATAAACCAATTAAACGAACAAAACTCGTTGAAACACACACACACACACACACAACATTAAACATTAAGAAAAAAGAAAAAGAAATACCTCTCGATCAAAAGTAGCACCCTGATGTACGAGTTCTCGTCCAGGCATCCGGTCACCATGTCTACCCCCGTAAAATCCTTCGTTAAGAAGAAGGGACGAAGCACGATACACGCGATATATATATATGTGTGTATATATATGCAGAGAAGGATGGATATATCGATCGTATATTCGATTAAACGCGAGTAAACGACGCGCGAGAGGGAAAGAGGGCGATAGAGAGAGAGAGAGGACGTGGCCGAGTTCGCGAGTTGTTGCGCGAGAGATCCGAATCGAGTGTTAAATACGGCGAATCTCGAGTCACACGACGAATGAAAAAGCCGTGGGCGTCTGTACGCGGACGGATCGACGACTACGCCACTGCTGCACACCGCTCCATCGACCATCGACCGATCGATGCACCGCGTGCCATTCCAACCGTATCTGCCGTTTCCTTTGCCGCGAAATCGATTTTTCCCGCCTCACGCTCGATTCGAGGGACTCTCCCCTCGGTCTCTTTTCTGCCAATCTTTTCCTGTCACGCGACGCCTCTTTACTGCGCTGTTGCGCTACGTTCCGTGCGGGCGAAAAAGGGGAGAGAAAGAGAGAGAGGAGGAGGAGGAGGAGGAGTTTGGGTTTTGGACAGGCGGTGGGTAGGGGGGGAGGGGGTAGAGGCGAAGGTGGGATTGTGGAGGTGGAGAGAAGATCGAGAATAGGTTGAGGTAGATGCGCGTCGTCGTGGAATAAGCGATTATAATTGAGGAGGGTGGGATTGATTCTTTTTTTTTCTGGAGGGAGAAAGAGGATTCTAGAACTTTTTCAGGGGGGTAAAGGTTGAGTTAGCGCGGATCGTGGCAAGGATATTCTCTTTTTTCGAGACTCTTTTTTGGCGTGGAAGTGAAATTTCCCTCTTCTTTTCCTCTGTAAATATCCGTAACGTAACGTCGACAGTTTCAAATTAAAGATAGGAGGAGAGAGAGAGAGAGAGAGATAAAAATCGAGACGTGAAAACGGATCGATCTTGATTGGAAGAGGAATTTTCTTTTCCTTTTTTTCATTAATTAAAAATGCCCCGAAACAACGAACGTTCCTCGTCCGAAACTCGTCCTCGTCGATCGACCATCGATCCATCCCGCTGCTGCTCAAGACACCTCTCGCTCATTCACGACTGCCAAGCGGAAGAGGAGGGGAGGAGGCTGCCTCCCATTCACCGAGAAGGAAAAGGAAAAGGAAAATGGCGAGAAAAAGGAAAGGGAAAAGGAAAGAAGAAAAAAAAGAAAAGAAAAGAAAAAAGAAAAAAGGGAAAAGGTGAATCGTCTCGAAAGAGATTGAAACACAACCGCCGCCGGCACGAACCTCGGTGTCCGTTCGAAGCTGTGCGTGCACAAGTGTGCGCGTCTCTCCCGAGAAGAAAAAAAAAGGGGCGCGAAGAAGGAGATCAGAGAGCGGAGAAGGAGAAAGAGGGAGGAGGAGAGAAGAGAGTGAGAGAGAGAAAAAAAGGAAAAAATATAAACACACACACATACATAAATATACATATATATATATATATATATACATGGAGAACTGGTCACGCCCGGCTCGCCCAGGCCGGGCCTCGACAATCGCGACGTTTTCAGGGCGAAAAACCGACCCGGAACCCGGGTCTCTCCGCGCTCGCTTGCACTCTGGCTCCGTCTGGTTGGCTGGCTTGGTTGCGTGCGCGCGCGCGCGCAGGCCACGCGGAAGTGAACGGCGCTCTCCCGCGATTTTTCGGCCCAGAAAACGTGGCGGCGTGGGTGTCAGCCTGGATACCTCGTTCGATGCACTCCTGGCTAGGAGGCACGGTCACCTTCAACCGGCACGTGAACAGGTAAGCTCGTTGCAACGGCTGAATCCACGACGGATACCCTCCTCGATGGGATCTTTTGTGCGCGCGCGGATATGGGTATGGAGGGGAGGGGGGAGGGGGAGGAAGGAGGGAAGTCTCGCATTACAGTGCGGGGCAAAAGTTTGATTGTCGGGGAAGAGGAGATTGATTTATCGTTTTTCTTTTTTCTTTGTTTCCTGGTGAAATTATGACGAGACTGTAACATGTAATCGTGATTTGTAAAACCTTGAATCGCGAGGGGATAATTCTTATTTAATAACAATCCGTTTCTTCGATTTAGAAAATCGTTCATCACCGGTGAGAAACGAATGGACTTTTTTTAATCACGCGAACCGTTCTCCGTTCTCATCGAAGATCGTCGAAGATCATACACGATCCTCTTTCGAAAGAAAATTCCAAAAACCTATCCTAAAACGAATCCTAGAATTATTTTTATCGAATCTACTTCTCATCGTTGTTTCAATCCCATCCAAATCTTTTAAAACCACCTCCCTTCGCATCAACTTTTGCCACACTTTTTGTACAAAAAGGCCGTGGTTCGATTCGATCGAACCGTGTCAACGGAGACATCTTTCCTTCCTTCCTTCCAAAAGAAAAAAACCCTCTCGAAAATTTTCTGGAAACCCGGACTAAACTTTTGTCCGACACTGTATACTACACGCCATGTTTAATTCCATCCGTGTCAACGGCGAGAGAATAAGAGAGATTACAGGCCCGGCGAACCGAGCCCAAGCTTTCCCGCAACGGGACAAGACCTCTCTCGAGAGAAAGAGAGAGAGAGAGAGAGAGAGAGGAGGAGGAGGAGGAGGAGGAGAG